TCTCTTAAACATATAGATTTTTTTTAATGGAAGATGCTGTACTATTTTACATTTTGAGCAGAAATATATGAGAGTTCCTGTTTCTCCACAGCCTGTGGAACAATATTCTTGCTCTTTTGTATTGTAGCCATTGTAGTGGGTGTAATATTTCATTATTGTTTTGATTTGCATTTGCCTGATGATGTTGAGCATATTCTCATTTGTTTATGAGCTATTCATATATCTTCTTTGCTGAAATATCTATTCAAGTCTTTTTCCCTTTTTTTCCCCCCCCCAAAGATTTTATTGGGGAATTGGGGGAGGGGAACAGTGCTGGGGAATCAGGGGAAGGGGAACAGACAAGTTGCTGTCCTTTTGTTCTTCAGTCTAGTTGTGGAGGACATTGCTTCGCTGAACCATGTTGGTATTATCATTGCACTCTTCCCAGGTGAGGCAGATCGGTTGCCGGCATCTGGACGGCCGCTCACAGTGGCTCTTGGCAGCTCACACTGGCTGCCAGCCACTCATGCTGGCTGCCGCCCACACTCCGTAGCTCACAGCAGCCCACTGCAGCAGGGGCTGCAGCCTACACCACCCCCGGCGACTCACGGCAGCCCAGCTCCAGGTAGAGCTGTTGTTCACCATCTTAGCTGTAGAGGGTAGTGTCACTGGCCCTCATGTGGGATCCCAACAGGGGCCCTGCTGCTCAGAGCTGATGTCCCAAGCCAGCTCTTCACCAACGTGCCACTCGGCCGGCCCTTTTTCCCATTTTTTAATTGGGTTCATTTCTTAATGAGTAGTAAAAGTTTTTTGCATATTGTTTATCTGGGAATGTCTTTATTTTGCCCTTATTTTTTAATAGTTTTGTTGGATATAGCATTCTTATTTGATTTTTTTAATATTCTTTCAACATTTTGAATATTTTATTCACTGCTTCCTTTTGTTTACTGTTTTTAATGGAAGTTCCAGGCATTAATCAGATTGTCTGTCATTCCCCTCAATGTGATGAGTCATTTCTCTCTTGTTGTTTTCAAGATTTTTCTCTTTGTCTTTAGCTTTCAGCAGTTTATAATGTGCCTCTTATGACTCCTAGATTTTGGGTTATAGTGAGGATTTTCATTATAAACAGCACATTAATTATGTTTATGAGCTTTTTGTTTTGTTTTTTTTACATTTATATTTCTGATCCATTTTACCTTATGCTGACATATAGTTTGAGGTATTGAATGAATTTGATCATTTTCCAAATAGCTACCTGATAGGTCAAGGAACACACACAGTCAGGCAAGTTAAGAAAGTTTATTGTAAAAGAAAGCCTATCAGACTGAGCCGAAGCCGCTGCAGCCCTGTCTGAGTCTAAAGAAGACGGCAGCCCCGAGGGAGAAGGTGAGGAGGGTTATATAGGAGCAGTGCTGACAGGGTGGCATTGTTTGAATAGAAAATGCTGACTGCCTGTAAGCCAGTAGCTGTTTTGTGGCACTTTCTGTTATCGCAAGTTTGGCTCTGTCTGCAGGCACAGGCCAACAGATATTTTGTTTTCTTGCAGATAGAGTCAGGGCCTCTGAAACCTAACACTACCTATCCTGTTATCCCAACAGCATTATTAAATGTAAGGTACTGTTCACCCTGGAGGCCAGCTCAGCCATGCAGTATGGGCGCACACCCCGCATCCTGCTTGGCACAAAACCCAGCGGGAAATACATCATCCATATCCTGCTTGACAGAAGTAGAAATTTTCCAAAAACCCCCAGCCATTGCCATCACCAACCGTTGCCACTGGTTACTTACTCCACCCTATCAAAACTAGACTCTTCCCTTAGTCGGGGCTGATGCCTCCCATGGCCTCAGCCCGGCAGGTTAATAAACTTGCTTGCTTGAATATCGGTGTCTCTCGCCTCCCTCTCTCCTCGGCAAACCTTTCATTAAATAGTTCATCATCAACAAAAATAATGTGGTGTCTTGACTTTATACACTTAATGGGAGCCATTTGCAGGACAAAAGGATTACAAAGAATATTTCAGATTTCCTTCAGTTATACCATAGTTATTTTAGAACTATCACCATTGTCATTTTGAAAGTATTTCTCTTATATTGTAGGCAACAGGAAATAATTATGTTAATAAAGTTAGGATTCAGTAAGTTGAAAGAAAAATGCTATAAGGTTAAAATTTATTTGAAAATATGAATAGAGAGACAAGCATTCTTTTCCTACTTCTGTCCACTGAAAATATCTAAATGCCGTGTCAACCCAACAGTGCCCAGATTGTGTTCACTAATGTCACTTCCAATTGAAAGGAACCAGGGCTTTTTGGAGAAGTGGCTGATTCTGCATCTGGAATAGAGAAAGAATAAAGTGAACCCTGGAGAATTGGCTGGTCAAAAAGCAAGGAAACTTTCAATAACTAATGGAATCAAATTAAATGAAAACAGGGTGCTGTGAAGAGGATATCCTTGCTATATTGTGACTATTTGGGCCAATATAAGGAATATTGATTTCTGTAATTTGAAATACGCTAATTCAATTAAAATTTATGGCTCTGTAATAATCTCAAAAGAAAAAGTCAAAAATAACAAGTTATGCACATTCAAGGTGGTTTTTACAACTACTGATTACTTTAGAAAGTGTCAATTAAAGAGGCAAACATCCTGCCTTTACAGTGGTATCAATGTTAGATGTAACCACACAGTCCCACTTTATAAAGTTAGCCTTACTTTATAAAAATATACCAGTTAATGGATGGAGAAGGAATGTCAAAATTAGAGTTAAAGAAAATAAATAATGACCTAGGGAAAATATCAATTACTCTTAAAATCAACCACTTAATAATAGATGGGGCCTAGAAATTCATACACAGTTGACCATTGAACAAGGTGGGGGTAAGAATGCCAAACCTCCAACCCCTACGGAGTAGAAAACCTGCCTACAACTTTTGACTTGCCTCGGTGCCCACTGGGGAATTGTTTCCGGGACCCGTGGAGATACCCATATCTACAGATGCTCAAGTTGCTTCTATAAAATAGGGTAGAGTCGACCCCTATTTGTGTGGATACAAAAGGGGCCACAGATTAAACCTGACAAGTTCAGGAGACTGAAAAAAATCTCATAAAATGGTCTGAACATGAAACTCCTAACTAAAAGCGAGTCGTGGCCGGTAGTCACATGCTTGGCCTGTAGCTTCCTTGACAAAGGTCAATCTTTACCTTAAGTGAGCCTATCTGTTGTCTTTTTGCATCTAAGATAACATACCCTTGGAATGTCATAGCAATCCCTTTTTCTGGACGACCCCCCAGGGGGCACAACCCACCACACCAGAGCAGGAAACCACAGAATCTCTCATTGTTACCTTTTTTCCGAAATACCATCTCTATGTGCTGTAAAATGCTATTAACTATTGTATCCTGTACTCACCAACGTAAAACAAGTGTGTGTCTCTCCATTTTACTTTTTATCCAAACCCAGAGATTTCCCCACTTTGCTTTCTCCCACCCCTTTCATCTACAACCAGTAGATTTCATGTAACCCTACTCTTTTGATTCTAACGTATAAAATAAATTGCAAAACAGCCATTTTCCTGAGCATTTTCTCAATCCATTCCCAGCAATTGTCAGTTTGGCTCAAATAAACTCATAGCTTTTTCTTAGACTGGATGTTTTTCTTGTAGACACTTGGAGTCCAACTGCTGATTGAAAATAGTTTTCCAGGGCTGGCCAAGTGGCACATTGGTTAAGAGCTGGCTTGGGACGCCAGAGAGCCCCGGTTCGGATCCCACATATGAGGGCCAGTGACACTGCCCTCCACAGCTAAGATGCTGAACAACAGCTCAACCTGGAGCTGGGCTGCCGTGAGTTGNACAGCTAAGATGCTGAACAACAGCTCAACCTGGAGCTGGGCTGCCGTGAGTTGCCGGGGACGGCGTAGGCTGCAGCCCCTGCTGCAGTGGGTTGCCATAAGCTACCTTGTGTAGCAGGCAACCAGCGTGAGTGACCAGCAGCCGCCGTGAGCGGTAGTCCAGAAACTGGTGACTGATCTGCCTTGTCCGGGAAGAGCACAATGATGATGCCAACTTGGGCCAGTGAAGCGATGTCCTCCACAACTAGACTGAAGAACAAAAGGACAGCAACTTGTCTGTTCCCCTTCCCACAATTCCCCAGCGCTGTTCCCCTCCCACAATTCCCCAATAAAAATCTTTAAAAAAAAAAAAAAAAGAAAGTGCACGCTCTGAGCAACAGCGGTTCAAGTCCCACCCAGCTGAGCTGCTGCTGAGCTCCAGCTGATGGGCCAACTGTTTTTTTGTTTGTTTGTTTGTTTGTTTGTTTTAAACTTTATTGGGGAACAGTGTGTGTTTTTCCCAGGACCCATCAGCTCCAAGTCCAGTCTCTGTTTTCAGTCTTGTTGCTGGGGGCACAGCCCATGCAGGAGTCGAACTGGCAACCTTATTGTTAAAAGCCCTGTGCTCTAACCAACTGAGCCTCCATGGCACCCCAAGGGCCGACTGTTTATTGAAAAATATTCACACATGAGTGGACTGGCATAGTTCAGACCCATGTTGTTCAAGAGTCACTAATAATTCCAAAGTAACATCACACAGATTACTATCTAGACACCCTTAAGGTTAGTCAGTCAGTCAGCACTGCTGGACTCCCATCTTTTGGGGATTCCTGACTTGACTTTGCGCATTTCCCAGGGGTCTACCGGTCCACTGTCCTTAGCAGTCGGCTGAATTTCATGCTATGAGAAAATGAACTGTCGGCAGGGTTCCCAGCATTTGCAAATTCCCCCGTAACAATCGCGATATTGGGCACAGCTCCTTTGGAGGAGGGGCAGACCGCCTTCTGAAGGCCTCGCTCCCAGACCCGAGGATTCCCGCGAGAAATACATTTCCCAGAAGTCTCTGGGACACAGCTCACTTGTCAGGGCCAAGTAGAGTTGCATGCTGCTGAGGAAGTGAGCCCAAGCGCTTCCAGTTCCGCGGATTCCCAGATTCTGGACTACATTTCCCAGAGGTCTCTGAGGAACAGCACCATTAGGAGCGCTCCAGTTGCATGCTGGGAGATGCGCTTCCTACGCAAAGGGTTTTTTAGACTCCGGCTTCCCCAGGTCGCCGTCCTGAGTTAAGCTCAGCCCTTGCGCCCCCTCCCGACACCCTGTTGGTCGTTGGGCCCCATGCGGTAAGCTGTTAGCATCCCAGTGAGAAACCAGCGCGGAATGCGGCGGGGGATGGCGGGGAGGGCAACGCCCCTGGCGAGGAGGGCCGGAGCAGAGCCTCGGCCTATGGCTACGAGAGCGGCTATGGAGAGAAGTGCTAGGGGGAGAGAAGTGTGTGCATGTGTGCGTGTACGCGCGTGGCGTCAGGGACCGGGCCACGTCCCCGCAAGTGAGGTGCGTGGGAGCGTCTGTGAAGATGACAGAAGCAGGCCCTGTCCCCGTGGCTGTGACGCACTTGCAAGTGAGTGAGGGGCCGACGCCGCCGGGCCCGGTCCCCGTGACTGTGACACGCGTGCGTGGGAGCGTCTGTAGGGGAGACGCGGCCAGGCTGTGACTGTGCGACTCTGCTCTGTGTGAGTTACCTGCGTATGGGCTTTGTGGGGATGGCAGGGCCCGGGTATGTCTCCGTGGCTATGAGCTGTGTGCCTTTGCTCTTCTGTGGGGTTGGCAGGGCCGGGCACCCTGTCTCTGACGTGGACGTCAGTAGGTATGTCAGGGTCGAGGCGTATCTCCTAATGGTGCGATTCTTGGGCTGTGACTGGTGCCGATATTGTGCTCGGGTGATTCTGTGTGTGGCCACGGATTGAGTGAACACTGGTGTGTGTGTGACAGTGTAACCTGTATCTCGGATGTCTGCCTTTACCTTCTAACCATGTGGTACCTGTCTAGACGAAGGGGCACCAAAGGGAAATCAGAGCCTGAACCCTGTAGCGAAAATGACCAACAAGAAGGGCGCAGACATAGTTATGAGATGGCAATTTTAGACCTAGCACTGCTCTCCATACAGGCGCCCTGAATGACAGAATGGAAAGACCTCAGGAATAAGGTTCCTTTTTTTGGAGAGTAGAGGTCCCTGACTTGGCAGGTGCGGGTAGGGGACAACTACGTATTTCAGAACCCCAGTTACTAGAGCCTGGTCCCCAGGAATCTCTGAAATATTCAGATCCAGTTCCCCCATATTTCTGATTGTTTTTAGAGATGACATGGTGACAGGTGTGGCCTTGGACAGTATGTTCTGAGGTAGCCTGTGCTCCAGAAAGAACCTGGTGTCTCATTCTATCCTTCTCTTTCACCCAGGCCAGCCATCCTCTAGATAAAGCATCCTCAGGAGGGAGAAGAATTGTTACACATCTTAAAATCAAGGTTCAGATGAGTTATTTTTGTTGTTGTTGTTCAGTAAATGATTTGTGTTTATAGGACTTAAGAATATTTGCTTTCCTTGAAATATCCTCCCTAACAGTGACTTATCCCATAAGTCCTTTCCAAGAGGTGTGACAGGGGCTGTGCAGGTATAGTCCCCAGCGTACCCACCCTTTCCAGTGAGTATTCACCTGTTCATTTGGCAGGTTGTTCACACTCTTCTGTGTGCTCTTCTTTTCTAAGAATTTTATGGTATAAAAGAATACTACTGGGAGGTTATTTGCACTTTATTTTAATGTGATTTGGTAAGTAGTACATTGATTTTTAGATGGAATCAAACACTGGATATCTCTATAGGTCTTTCCTACAGGCCTGACTTTCAAAGCACAGGAAGAAAGGAGGTTTGATTGATTTAGTCAGTACACGACAAAGTTATCAGCTTCGTGAGGCTTTGGGGAGTGGGCTTTGGGCAAAGGTCTTTGTCATAAAGCAGGAATTTTTTTTTTTTCAGTAATCAGTAACTAGAAGTGTGTTGTATGAGCCATGTCTTGTTTGAGGTCCAACAGTTTCAGTTTGTTTAGACACATCTTGTATTAACTGTGAGAAACAATATGATTTGACACTCAGTATGAGTTCTGAACCTGGAGGAGAGGTTGCTCAGCCCTTTCTGTAGAGGGTCATGTATTAAATAGTTTATGCTATATGGGCTACCTATAGTTGCATATTGTTCTTTTTCAATAGATTTTATTTTTTAGAATGGTTTTAGATTTATAGAAAAATTCCAATGATAGTACAGAGAATTCCAGGTACCCTGCACCTCGTTTTCCCTGTTATGACCAACTTACATTAGTAAGGAACATTAGTTACAATAAATGAGCCGATTTTGATACATTATCATTAATTGAAGTCCATGCTTTACTTATTTTCCTTGGTTTTTACATAATGTTCTTCGTCTGTTCCAGGACACCACGTGACAATTTGTTGTCATGGCTCCTTAGGCTCCGCTTGGCTGTAACATTTTCTCAGACTTCCCTTGTTTCTGATGACCTTGACATTTTTAAGAGGTACTGGTCAGGTGTCTTGCAGGGTGTCTCTCCATTGGGACCTGATGTTTTTCTCATGGTTAGACTGGGTTTATGCATTTGGGGGTGGGAGATCACAGAGGTAAATTACCACTTTCCCCACGACATGGCAAGGGTACATACTGTCAACACGATTTGTGATTATTGAGATGGCACTTGATCACCTGGCTGAGGTAGTGTTTGTCAATTTTCTCCACTGTAAAGTCACTCCTTTTTCCCTCTTTCCATACTGTCCTCTTTGGAAGGCGGTCACTCTGTGCAGCTTACACTTAAGGAATGGGGAATGATGCCCCCTCCTCCTCCTTTGTTTTTTGTTTGTTTTTACAACCCTTTAAAAACATAAACCCCATTCCCTACATAAACAGGCTGCAGGCCATATCATGTAGTTTGCCAAGCCTGACGTAGAGTATTGGGTTCCGATCTGGTCTCTTTCTCTTCCTGGTGTTTTGAGCTTTATGAAAATAGGGTTGAGATAATACAGGTGAAGTCTCTTAGAACAGCCCCCAGAGCGTAAGTGCTCAGCAAATACTGTTTTCGCTATATGGTAAGTCTGGACGTTCTATAGATCAGGAGCAACATACGAATGAAGGTCATTGTGATTGGTACTTGCAAGTTGACAAAATGAACTGGAGCCTCAAAGGGTCTAGGACCAGAATCCTTAAACTGGGGTCCTTCCTTTAATTACATTTTACAGTTGCCCAAGGGAAATTATATACAGACTTATTACATATGTTTGTAAATGCGGTTTTTTTCTAGGAGAAAGTCTATGACTTCATGGTATTCACAAAGGTGGACATGCCCCAAACAATTAGATTCTTGGTCTAGAATCAAAGACTGTGTTACCCTGACCACAATTAGTATTCAGGATGATGGAAAACCACACCAAATTCACATTATAGAGTATTATGCGGCTATGAAAAATTTTGTTTAGAAATAGTCATAAGAAGGAAAAACACATATGATACAATATTAAGCAGTACTCATAAACAGTATTATGGATGAAATTTTTTAATTAGCTTGAAATTCCATTTAATAAAACACTGTTCAAGTCTCCTATCCAAAATGACATTTTAATTGATTATTCAGCAAAGGTGGGAGGGAGCGTGGCCACATTTATTGAGGACTTTCTCTGTACCAAACAGCCTCCTGTCTGCTTTGCACACTTTCCCTTATCAGTCTGCAGAGCAGCTTAGCTGCATTATTGCATACAGGGTCTGATGGTACTGCTGAGACGCAGTGGAAGGACATCCAAGATCAGCGAGGTGATATTTGTTTTAGTCACCTTATTTTTTCAATTCTAGGCCTCGTATCAGTTTCCTTTTGCTGCTGTAACATATTGCTACAGATTTAGTGGTTTACAACAACACAAATTTATTATCTTATAGTCCTCGAGGTCTGAAGTCCAAAATGGGTCTCACTGGGCTAAAACGAAGGTGTTGGCAAGGCTGCGTTCCTTTTCTGAAGCTCTGGGAGGCATTCTCTCTCACTGCCTTTCCCAACTTCCAGAGCTGCCAGCTTTCCTTGGTTTGTGGCACCTTCCTCCATCTTCAGAGCTAGCAAAGACAAGTCCAGTCCTCTCCTGTCACATCATTCTGACCCTACTTCTGTCATCACATCTTTCTGTCTCTCCTTCTGACCCCTTCCTCATCTACTTTTAAGGACTGTTGTGAATACATTGGGCCCACCTGGGATAAGCTCCTTACCTTAAGGTCAGCCGATTAATAACATTAAGTCCATCTGCAACCTACAGCCCCTTGACTAGGTCATGTAACATATTCAGTTTCCAGGATTAGGACATGGGCTTCTTTGGGAGACAGTTACTCTGTCTACCACAAGCCTGTCCATTCAAAGTTCCCTTAATGACTGCAACATACTGCCCCCCCATAACCATGGTCCTTTTCTTTGTTAATTATTTTTTAAAATTTGGGACTGTCTTAAGTCACATTTCTTATGATGGGATTAATGCAGGCCTGCTACAAAAAAATTAAGTTTCCTAAGGAGGTCATACAGAAGAAACTCAAAATTACCCATAACTGTACCATCCAGAGACGACTGTTGATATTTTGGTGTGTATGTTTCCAATCCTCTCCTCCCCCTCTAAGCATATGCATGTGGTTTTATTTCTAGAACATTGAATCCTGCCAGTTGCTTATGCAAATGAGCCAAAGACTCTCCACCAAATCCTAGTTTGTAAAAGGAATCCACTTCAGCCATGGATCACATTATACCTGTGTATATGTGGGGAGGGGACAGGTGTGCCAGTGATTCCATTCTTGCTTTGAAAAAAAAATCTCCCACGTATTTACCCCTTATAGGAGTAGAGATACATAGTTTGAAACTAATCCCATTTCAGTAAATTATCAAGAAAGACCTTCAAAATTAGACTTTCTAGAAATTTAGTATATCTTTCACAGACCATGGCAATGGTCGCTGATATGTTACAAATATGGACTGGACAAGTGACATTTCCAAGGGCTGATGTGAGAAAAGTATAAGACGACAGCAGTTTAAAATGTTCACATAAATCTTTCATATCCCATAGAAGACAAGACTGAGATTGAGCCACTTGGTAATGTTCCCAATTTGGCATCTCAGTTTCGATCCTTCTAGCTGGATTTTTAATGCAGAATCCTGGCTGCCCCGCTCTTTGCTGGTGGGGATGGAATGTTTCCTCCTTACCTGTCTCATAATCTTATTTTATTTTATTTTATTTTTGCTAATATTGTTAATTAAAAAGAATT